TCAACCCACTTCAATAAAGAATAATAATATTAAGATGTATAAGAAGAGTAATGATCCCCAAATTATATCGCGTTTTCTTCCAAACTTTCGTGTTTGAACGAAGGTATGAATGTTTGGATGATGTGGCGGTTTTCTTTTGTTGAATAGCAGTTGGTTGTCCTTGTTTTCGCAACTTGGTCATATTGGCAGAAAGATCTAGAGGATCACACCTTGTCCGGAGTCCATTGTATGCATGATACTTTTTCACAGTCGGACCGGGGACTTGGGAATGTATCAGGGACAAACAACTTTGTGTTTGAAACCTGCGAACAATACTCAAGATTTGCTTCCCGTTGCGAGGGCTGAATATGCCTGGACGGGATCGCAACTTAGGTCAATTCTGGAGCTGACGCTATTTTGGACTTACATGAACGATACATTTTCAGAAGTGGGTTGACCTCGTTGTCGCAACTTGTTCTTGTGGTCAGGGTGACTATGTTGAACGCACCTAGTCCGAAGTCGTCTGCAATAGTAGTTGTCATGATTTCCATCATCCGACAGTGGACTTAATACATTCTCAAAGTAAGTATAATATAATATTACAGCAAGATAATATAATATAATAAATAAATTGCCATATAATATTAAGACAATAAATACTTATGCAAGATAATATTATTTTGAAGATATGAAGACCAAGATGTTGTGGTCTCTGGTATGGTCGCAGTCTCCTTTCTTTCGATTTATAGAATTGGGTTGACCTCGTTGTCGCAACTTGGTCTTGTTGTCATGACAACTTAGCAGAATGCACCTAATCCGAAGTCGTCTGCCATAATAGTTGTCATTATTTCCAGCATCAGACAGTGGACTTGGTACATTCTCAAACGTTTCGCCGGCTCCTAGTCGGCATCTTCAGGGAGTCTTGCCATTAGCCGCAACAAGCTACGAACTCGTCAAAGAGACAAGTGAAGTCGACCCTCGACAACCGTTCTGCCGAAAACGGTTAGACTATTAATCCTCTTTCTGTCCTGGCCTATCTATCTACTCTTTACATTCATATCCAACTCCCGCCCTATCACAACTTTTCACTTGTTTACATTCCACTCGTCAAAATGTGTGCAAATGTGGCCAATTTAGTGTGGCCTCATCACACTTGCTATCTACCCCGGCCCCTCTCTTGCTATTGTTGACTTTGTAAACTTCGAGACTGTTTGTAAGTGGTTACACGAGGCACAACTGTCCTGGAGACGGGGCTCTTCTGCTTCATGTTGATAGGCTACAGAAACCCAGAAAAATGCACAGTTTTTTGGGCATGATGCTTTAAAATGGTCAAATCTCCGAAGTTGCGCGAGCTTTGGGATGCCGAATAGCGTCGTCAAGTGTAGATATGTTGAGAGACATATGCCTGTGTGTCTGTCTATTGGGATTGCTTGGTTGCCGGGACAGCGTGTCTCCGCTTGGAGTTGTGTTGTCAACGGGAGGTCGGAGGATGAAATGTCTTCGAGTTCTGTGTCAGGCCCGGTCTGAGAACACATGCATCGGCCGGCATGTCCGAGGCCGACCTGGTTTGGCAATTTCTGTGCACTACATTCCGTGTCTGTGACATGTTGCATATCTTCCTTTTAATGCAGCTGACTGCCTATCTTTGCTACGGAAAGCAGACGCGGCGGCCTAAGCGCGACTCCCAACTCACCGACAACTCGGTCTGGTCTCGACATCCTCCGCCCGACTGGATGCAGTTGGGCCAAATCACGCATCCGCGCGCCCCGATTCAAGCCGCCTCGAGACACTCCACTCGACACCATCGGCACCAGCGAGCCTCGACGACGCTACAGCCCGACACCAGCTACTCGGAGGGCGTCACCGTGTCGGTTGATGCGACCTCGGCTTCTCTGTTGCCATGCGCCAACCCCAACACTGCCCACGGTCGTCAGGCCGACAACGTTTTCTCGCCCGACATTCTCGTAGAGGCCGAGGTAGGTTGATGTTGTTGCAAACATGCTCTTCACTCAACGCTCATCTATTCGCCCTACCATTCCCAGACGTCGAAGAAGACAAGTTGGTTTCACACAAGTCAAAGTGTGTGTGTGTGTGTGTGTGTATGTTTAAGAGGTTCTTGTTGGTCAGTTGCAGCAGAAGATGATTGCCGAGTCCTTTTTGACATCTTCAGAAGATGAAGGGAACCCTCGAGGTTGGTGGAATCTCATAATTGCATCTTCAATTTACTTGTTTGTAATAAAGAGAATCCATCAAAAAACGATGGCCGATTCCTTTTGACCAGCTGTTGATAGGTTTTATTGAATTATTCTTGTTGGCACTGTAACCAAGGCAATATTTTTCTCTTTCGGAGAGAACTTGATTAACCACACCGTCAGGGTCTTGACAACTTTGACTCATCTTTTTAGAAATTCCGTCAGGCCCAGTTTCTCTTCGTATATTGCTACTCTTATTCGGCCGAGTAGTGCTGACTGGAGAATTGTTAATTTCAACTATCTTTACTCATATTTGCTATCAGTTCTGACGCAGCGCTTTTCAAGTCGACG